GTATGCATCAAACTGTATGCTTAGATGACTTGACAGAAATGGTAGGTGAATGTTGAACTTTTGTTGCACACATATCCAGATGATGCTGTGTACCATTTTGCACAAATACGCTGTAGGTGTGATCGAGGCATAAGCCTCTGTTAGTGCCTACGAAAAGACGCCATTACTATTTCTCTCTATTAGCATGATTTTCTAACATTCCTGCAGCACTTTCAAATGTGCTCTCTCTCTCATTTCTATTTTTAGTCATTCCATGTGGGTTGAACATACAAAGTGATAAAAGGATTCAAGGCCTATTAAATAACTTGGGAGTAAAAAATGTTATTGGCCTCTTTTTTTCTACATTAATTTGTACATTGCAAGGAGGATATGATTGTATGATGGCTGTTGCTAGACTGAAACCTTGAGGCGAATTATATCTATTTACCATGCTGCATATATATAATTATGTCAGTCACCTCACCAGACCAAGGGAGAGTGTAAAATGGTTAATTAATGAGATAAACAGGCTACCAGAATAGAACAGGAACAAATGTATTATTAGGCGATAATACACTGACTGGTGGGTTGTGTTGTCCTCCGCTTACCTTGACAACAGTGTTAGAATACGCACGGCTATATTATGATTAAGACCGAAAGGAAGTGTAGATGTGTGCAAACAAACCTGACTGAAATCTAGGTCTGCTTCCTATCACTGACACTGACTGATCATAATGCTCTGCTCTCTCCTCTCATAAGGATACTATGGCAGGCATTGTTGATAGATACAGTCGCACCAATTCTGCACTGTGTAGGAGTCTTGTATTCTAATTCCCACTGGGCACAGATGTCAATTCAACGTCTATTCCACGTAATTTCATTGAAGTGATGTGAAAACAACGTTGACCCAACCAGTGTGTGCCCAGTGGGTTTCTACATAATTCCTGATACAAATTATACAAATAGCGAGGGAAATGGAGTATATTGGCCATTCCGTCATTACAGTGGTTTTCAGTAATCCAAAAGACAATTAATGATTTGAGCTAAATGTCAGGTAAAATCATGGCATACAGTATCTGTCCCCTTTTCATACAGAATGACCAAAAAGCCATTTGGCAGCTATGCACACACAGCTGACCCATAAAAGCACCTTTTAACCTACCACTTTAAAATAGAATAAATATGAATTGGTGGTTAGGTCATTATTCTTCCATTTTCAGATATTCAGATATTCAGCAGAATACAGTCATTTGAAACATGTAATGGAAGAGCTAGAAAGAGATTAGAGTACATGTACATATTCACAGAAACCATAGTAACTGGTGAGAAGGAACTGCCTGGTACCTTGCAAGTCAATGATAACACTGCATGGTGGGTAGTTGTGGAACCTAGCAACAGGGACCTGCTGCCAGCCACTAGGCCTACCTATCTGGATGCGTTGTATCTTTTTGAAAACGATGATGAGCCTTTCATTAACCACTACAAATAAACGAATTATGTGTCATACTATTTTGAATGATTATGTTGATGTATCATATGGTCCTTAAAGCCTTAGATTATTCTAAGAAGAAGAGACGCAAAAGTGATGCTGCTGAGTTGAAAAGGTTACCATACAGTTAATGGAAATTGCGATTATCTTTTTGTGTCTAGCTAGGAATTGGAATTACACATTTGTTATTGAGCTGGATAATATTGTTCAGTTATCAAATGGGGAAATAAAACATAATAAAGCCGAGTAATTCGTACAGTAGTAAAGTTACAAATAATAGTAGTCCAGTTTAACATGGTAAGAGGTGTAGAAATGAGTGATTAAACGACATGACTACAGTGATTAAAATGTATAAATATTATTTTTGATGCATTTTCTGCAATTATAGCCATTATGTGCCGGCCTATTTAAAGATGATCTCATCACAGGAAATTATTGATTGTGAGGCTATATAATTTCATAGCCTATACATTCTGCGATATACAGACACTGAAACAAACCCATACAAATTCAAATGATAGGCCTATTTTGATAACAGTATTATTATTATGATGCTTGTTTGATTAGAGTTTAAGAGTAGTTTAATCAAACAAACAGAATTGTTTTTAAATGTTTACATTGTATTCATTGAAACAACTTTTCAGGGAGTATTATTGTTTGTAGTTTATTTAGATTATAGATCCTCGGTCTTGAAAAAGCTTAATTACCTTTTTCCTTCCAAAGTCTCAGGTTGACCAAGATCGTTATTGGGTTTCAGTTAAAACAGACCATTTCACGTTGCTTATTTCATTCAGTCTTTCTGTTGATCCATCTCGACCCATCTCGCTGTCCAGATGCTTTTTGTAATTCCTCGAAGTCAGACGTCACAACTATATATTCGAGGTGTAATCATCTCTCATTGCACGCTAATTAACAAGTCTAATCAAATAATATTGATTACAGAGCGACAAACGGCGAATGCTCCCTAAACAATTCAACAAAAGCGGTGAAGTAAAATGTAGCTCCTCCGCATATCCTTATGGCATTGTTTAGCAGGGAAATAAAAATGTCCTACCAGACAAAATCATGACTCAAAACGGGCATTAAACAATTAGATTTTCTTTCCTGTAGGCCTACCCTAACCCTTCTGTTATCCTGAGAACGATAATTTTGCCTTCCACTGTTGGGGTACACGGTAGGCTATAATATTGCATCACTGTTACGAACTAAAATCACTGTTGGTATCCTGGTTAACTGACAGTCCCATCATCCAGTAGTATGGACAGGTTTGGGTACGGTCCTCCGTTAGGACACACCCATTATCTAGAGCTCCAATGGAAATGGGTAATGGCCATAAAGAGAGTTAATGTTTGGTTGCATGACTAGGCCTACAGGGCAAGTGCGATAGGCGTTGTATTGTTACATTGTATACAATCATTCGTCAAACACACTCAGAGAAATAAAATGTTACAACAAGGTTCCATTCAGTGTATGTTTGGTCATTAGATGTTCCAGTAATAATGGCTACTTACAGCTGTTTATAACTGCTTATTACACATCTCACTAACCCATTTTCAAATCAGGCGACCCCACATGGTGTCTCGACCCCTAGTTTGGGAAACACTGTGCAAGTTACACCACTATGATACAAAAATCTAAACAAGTCAGCACTAAATAGATAATAGCAAGGTCAGTGCCTCAGTGAGTCAGAATGACTCATCTATTAGCAGTGCTCTATTCTCAGCCACCATCCCAGGAACTACACTTAGTAATGGTGAGAGGACTCAGCAGTATCCAAGAAGCTGTTAAGTGTGAATAACTCATAACTCAATCCAAGCATGTCATTCACACATCCAAGCTTTGGAAAGACTTATATTACAAATACTGTGGACGTAATAGATTGCCGGCATCCCTTCTAGTTACATCCGGTTGTAAAATGGGAACACACATTGGAACAGGAAGACTGATAACTGCTGAGGAACATTCTGGAATTTCCTTGCCATAAAAAAGGCCTACATTAAAAAAAAACTTTTAAAAACAATGTCCTTTATTTTGCAAAAATTGTGCGTTTACAGCAAGCTGTGAAAATTGAGACCATCGAACCAAAATAACCTCACAAAATTGCTACTGAATCAACAAAGAACCCACTACTCATACTCCATGAATAAGAGTTTATAACTTCATCACAAAGTGGAGGAGGCCACAGCACATGACACTGTTAGCCATGTCAAAGTATTAACCCTACAATACAATACTTCCTTATTACCTGGGCACCCCCTTCCATAATAAATCAATCTATTTCCACATGACTTACATTTATAATGTACTGAATATCTCTCAAACATCCCTTTAATCTACATCTTCAACATTAGTGGCAAGTAAATAATGGCATCATGATTATTCACTCATTCATAAAATGGCCCAGCAAAGTATATATATAAACTATAGAAGTTATTGGCAGGATATCCCCACACCAAACACAGAGATACATTCAGTCTGACCCAAAGGTGGATGGAAGTTTTCATATCATAGCATAATAATGACCAGTGGCCACTGAGGTCCTCACTTGATACACACTGAAGGTTTACATATCATGATACATTGGGTACTTGCTTGCTTGGACACACATGGAAGACAAAAACAAGTCAAATATATTAAATTATTTCTAGTCTTTATAACAGGATTGACAAACATACAGAACATTTGTTTATATAAATGACGAATTGAAGAGAAGAGTAGCTTGATACTTGCAGAGAGATGCACAACTGGCAAGTGACAGTCAATTTATTGGCATCTAGAACCAGTTTTGTAACTGGGATCCATTTACTACTGGGTCAGTTGTATGTGAACATGTAGCATTATGACTCGGCATACAGGGATGAAGGCCTTAAAAAAACAGTATGTTTGCCAATAATCATGAATTAATTTACAGGCCAAATATCATAGCTATCAGTCATATAATTATATAATATAGGCCTAATTGGTTCAAGCTGGAATCCTTAATGGTGAAAAAGCCACGTCCATGTGCAATATTACAACAAAGAAGTTACTGCAAACAACAAACACTGTTTTCTCCCCTCGGACATCATTGCACACGCGATAGAAGAGCACAATATGTACTGCCCGATATGTACTGCCTGTGGTGGGGTGGCCAGTGGCGCTGTTTCCCCCTACTGCGGATTTCATCTTTAATGCAGGCCTAGTGATTATTAAATGTGTATTGAGATTGAAAGATTCGGTCACAAACCTTTTTATTTTTTTACGACCTTGGCGTTTATAACACTGATTAGCACTTCCACAAGGGCGCCATCTTTTTGGAGCAGTAGTAATGTCTGGCTCTGGACCCTAGTGTACTGGGTTCAAATTGCAGGTTGTCATTTATTGTCATGAATCTTGCCCTGGAGGCAGCTCTGCAGAGTGGTCACTAGCTGGCACAGCCAGAACATCAGATTTTAATCCTAACCTTAAAGGGATACTTCCGGATTTTGGCAGTGTGACCCTTTATTTACTTCCACAGAGGTAGATTTACTTGTGGATACCATTTACGCCTCATTGCCAAAATCCAAAAGTATCCCTTTAACCACAACTGCTAACCCTAATGCCTAACTCTAACCTTAAATTACAACCAAAAATCAAATTGTCTTCATGAATTTTTGCCTTTGCAAATGGCCCATCTAGCCTCATGCTTCTCCCTCATTTCATTACAGTATGTAGAACTCAAAATATTGCAGTTTCATTTGGACAAGGACAACAAACACAAATAAATAATATACACTTGGCTGATGGCTGTTGTGTTTAAAGGCCAGGAATACTGCATCTTCGTCCTAGATATCTTTGATCTTCTTTGCATCCTCTGTCTTTGGTGGTATGATCTTAACCTCGAAGGGGATGAAATGCTCTAGAAGTGCTTTAGTATCTTTTAAGTCAAGAGAGTACTCCAGGGCGACCTTGTCACCTGTCCATGTTTGGGGAGCATTCTTGTGATTGTTGAGAGCTTTGAGGGCCTCAATAATAGACAGTTTGCCTTTAGGGACATCACTGATCTCAACAATACCATAGGGGTCCCCAGGTAGGCTGAACATTAGTGGCCTGCGCTCCTCTTTCTCCTCAGTCACCTCCTTTGGAGCCTGTTAGGATCAAACAGAGTAGGGTTATAATCAAACACATAGTTATAGGCCTAGCTATCAAATAATCCATCACTAAAATGTCAGTTGAATAGTCATTATTTAGGCTTACCTCTGTAGGATCCTTTGATTCCACATAAACGGACTTCAGGAACCCCAGTAGAGGGTCGTTTCTCTTGTGGATGGCATCAGAGATCTCAGTAACTGAAGGAAACAAAATCAACCTGAGGATGTAAGTAGAGGTTGAAGCCTAGTGATGAATGGGGTAATTTGCACACTGCCACACTAGGAATCTTAGCTGGTAACTAGGTAACGTTAGATAGCTAGCTTTTTTTCTGCTTGTTACAGAATTGGAAAACTGATAAGTCACCACAAATTCATCCACACTTAAACCGTGGTTTCAAATAGCTAGCTATTAGCTAACTAAGCTGTATGAAACACCACCCAGGACAGAGTAAGTTTTGCTAGCTACCTAACGTTACTTGCTAGCCTGGCAGGCGTACCTGACTTTGATAACCCTCCGACTTGAGTTAGCAAAGTCTGTAGCTAGCTAGCAACAGTAATTCAATGCAATGACATAAAGCCCAATGTACGTACTCACCCTGTGTACTCTGAACAGGATCAATGTGGGTCTGATGTCGAGGTGCCGCTTCAGGTTTTGCCTTCCCGATCTCACGATGTACCCGGTTTTCTAAGTTAAAATTCCTAAATAACCGTGCAACGCGTGCCCCCATGTTTGACATAATCAACTCTGGGAACGGTGAAGTTCGTCCAACATTTTTAACGGAGAGCGAGAAAGTTATATCATGGTAGCTGGAAATTCCACAGCGAACCCGTGTGGCGCAGAGAACATCAAGCATCTGGTTCCACCAGTCTGGGTTCGACATCCATTATTTCGCTGGGGACACACTTACCAGCAGGTGGTAGCAGAGCCTTGGAGTCTATTCAGTACAGTAGTCCACAGTGTAGGTAGGCAGGCAGGCAGAGAGGATGGAAAACCGTATGATGCCTCTTGAAAAGGCGAAGGACACGCAGGCGCCTGACGTCCAAACCGATATTTAATTTAAGAATTTATTTAAAAAATATTGTTTACGGTTTGGTTAGGGTCAGGGTTAAGGGTTTGTTTAAGGTTAGGGTTAGGGTAAGGGTCAGTTTCAGTTTCAGGTTTTTGCTAGTTGGTTAAAGCGCCAGCTGTGTGCTTATAGTCTCCCAGCCTCTTTGGTGTAGGCAGGCCTATAGTTCAGTGTAGTTTGTTCTAGTATTAGTGAGTGTGAGTGACACTTCTGAAGGTAGGCCTATGATCAAGAGGACTGGTATTTGTAATAAGGTAACACTAGAGTCATACAGGTTTTTAGTCTTTTTACTTTATAGAAAAGCATATATTGCAGGTTTTACCATAAATGCAATAAATATAACATCTGTATTTGTTAGTTTATCTATAGGTTGAGTTTGAGTGAGTCTGACTTGGGAGCACATCTGGCAAGGATCAACTGGCAAGGACAAATACCACATTTCAAAATACCGTAGCCTACAGTATTAGAGACACAGACATTATTTTGCTGAAATATCATTGACTTGTGTGCCACTACTCACGTTCATAGGAACTGTCAGGTGAAGTGGCATTTGAGCAACAATGGAAATGTGTCAAAGGTCATGGTTTACGTAAAATAAGATGTTGGCCTGGCTGTCACACTACCTAGGTCATGTTTCTGACAGTCTGGTCACCTCTGAACGCAGGCACTGAACATTGAGATTAATGATGAACTTGTCGTCCTGTAACTTAAATTATTATCTAAGTAACTCAATTCAAGTTCATTAGACATCATCACAACATTTGAGACAGATAAGATACATTTGAGATCTTGCGTAAAACTCTTTATTGAAAAAACTGTGAAAATTAGTTTTTTTATGAGATGACAAAACAAAGAATTCAGATTGTTGCTTGTTGTTGCAAGCCCTGACCAAAAGCTGCTACTTGTCATAAGGTCTTTCATAATCTCGGCATCCAGAGCCAAATCTCTGCGCTGTCACAAAAGACTAGGGATTCCATTACTCATAGTTTAGTTAAATTCATTGGCAAAATACAGCATGATTAGGCTATAGTGGTATAGTGGATTGAGCATCACACTCACCTAATCAAACTGAATTCAACTAGTGACAACGCTGTCATGGGTTGCAACTCCTCCCACTTGCAGGCTGAGGAGTCATGTGTCTACACTCTAGACCCCCCAAGTCTTCTGAGCAAGATTTTCATTGTTGGACATAAAAAACTGTAAAAACACCAGGAAATCAGCTCCAAGTGATTATAATTTGGGAAATCTGTTCCCAAGTATTTCCACACATAATAGAGAGACACATGATCGTATACAAATGTAAGCAAGGTTTGAAATTATTATGTTTTAGTCAAATATTATATATGTTTGGGCAACTTGCGGTCAATTTACAGTCTACAAATTATTTGTAATAATGTTCCAGCCCCACGACCATCCACTCAAGAAACAATCGGCCCGCGGCTGAATCTAGTTGACGATCCCTGCTGTATTTTATTTTATTTTTTAAATGTTTTAGTCATTTAGCAGACACTCTTATCTAGAGCGACTTACAGGAGCAATTTAGGGTTAAGTGCCTTACTCAAGGGCACATAGACAGATTTTTCACCTAGTCGGCTCGGGTATTAGAACCAGCGACCTTTTGGTTACTGGCACAACGCTCTTAACCGCTAAGCTACCTGCCGCCCTGTAGACCATACTATTGACTTGCACATGTTCAGAAGACACGTCTGGGAATGTGTCTAACTTACAGAGAGAGAGAAAGACTCCCACAAAGATAGTTGGACAGAGCCCACCCTCACATGTGCAAAACACATCAGAGGAACTAAAGACTTGTTTGCATGTCTCTCCTTGTTGTCTGTGTGACTGAGCAGGAGTGAGTAAATATTGATAGCTGCATCCTCTTCTTCCTACAACCAACCTCCTGATCTGAGGAAAACTTTATCATACACACACTAAATTGAGGACAGATACAGGTAACTGCCAAAATAAAGGAAATACCAACATAGTGTCTTAATAGGGCATTGGGCCACCATGAGCCAGAACAGCATCAATGCACATTGGCATATATTCTATAAGTGTCTGGAACTCTTTTGGAGGGATGTGACACCATTCTTCTTCAAGAAATTCCATAATTTGGTGTTTTGTTGATGGTGGTGGAAAACGCTGTCTCAGACGCCGCTCCAGAATCTCCAATAAGTGTTCAATTGCGTTGAGATGTGGTGACTGAGACGGCCATGACATATGGTTTACATCGTTTTCCTGCTCATCAAACCATTCAGTGACCACCCGTGCCCTGTGGACAGGAGCATTGTCATCCTACGGGGGTATAGCCATGGTAGCCAAGATATAATTAAGTCAGGAACCACACCTGTGTGGAATCAACGCTAGCATAAGGGTATGGCCTTCACCAACATACTGTTGACAAGCAGTTGAGAGCATGAAATTAAATCTATTACAGAGTAAAATTAACATTCAAAAGTGTATTAATCTAAATGGAATTACATGGACCCTGACAGCTTTAGAATAATATCACAATCCTTAAATGGGGATGACAATGTGTTCTGTTATGCAGTTAAGCCAATTTGGTTGTGTCACGACTTCCGCCGAGGCTGCCTCCCCTCCTTGTTCGGGCAGGTTTCGGCGTTCGTCGTCACCGGCTTACTAGCTACTGCCGATCCCATTCTCATCACTCCACTTGTCATGTCTTGTCAATCACACACACCTGGTGCTCATTCCCCTAATTAGTATGTGTATAAGCGTTCCCTCTGTTCCCCTTGTCTTTGTGAGTGATTGTTTCATTGTGAAAGCGAGTAGCTCGGTTGAGCTACTCTTCCATTTGATATTGCCAAGGTGGAATATTTCCCTTGTGATAGTTTCGTTTTGACGCTTGGTGCGTTTTCTTTATGTAAACGGAATAAACTCTGGACTTTGGTGTTTTACCTCCTGCGCCTGACTCCTTCTTTCATACCTCATCACAGGTTGAATGCAATGGTATCATGCTGCAGTTATAGAAACAGAGAGGACCACCGCCTGTCGTCTGAGGTAACATATTGCTACTGTTTTATATCTGCAAAGTCCCCACATTCACCAGGCAAAACCAAATACACAATGACAATAACATTGCACATCTATGCATATTGCTCCTTTTTCATTACAAAGAGTAGAAAATAACACCACAAAAATATATCTTGTTTGAACATAATGTACATTCTTTCTATATTCTTTATGACTTAGACTGCATGTCCAAACGTACACAGAGAGAGGCAGAGATATCTGCATTTAGTGGCTAGCCTTGGAGATCTTTGATATGAGGCAGGGGGTCTAATCTAAAAACGGTACATGACAAAGTTCACACAGACGCCATTCTAAAGCTCCACAGAAGCTTAGGATCTCAGAGGTGGTCTGGCTTAATATCCTTATTAAATCTATCAATTCCTATTTGGAATTAATTTTTTCCTGGACAACCATCAGGTAGATTTGGCTCAGACTGAGGTGTATGGTGCATTTTATTCACCCATGGCGAACTACAATAGGTCTGTCTGTACATTGACATTCCCCATTGTTGCACAGTGATGATGTCAACACTGTGCACGAGAGCAGGAAGAGTAGAGGCAGAGTAAGATGAAGCTGTCAATGAGGAGAATGCCATAGAAACACCTTTGGGTGTGTAGACTTCTGCCTCTCTGGAAGCGTGTCAATAACACAGCCAGTAGCAGGAAGAAGGTGGCTATGTTTAAGATGAGGAATAGTCTGATATAAGAGGCTGAGTTTGACAGACTGTCACTCTTGGCAGTTGCCGACATGTGGACCTCCTTGAACTTGCGACCCTTCACGAAGCCACCCTTCCTGCCTTTCTTTGAGTCTCCATAATCCATAAAAGCCCTGGAGTCTCCATCTTCCTCTGGGCTCTCCTCAATAATCCTCTTTGTGCTCTTCGATCTCTCCTTCTTCTCACTCACCTCGATCTGTGCAAAGATGTCCGGCAGGCTCTCTGAGAGCTGATCCCCAAGGTTCCCCAAGGCTTTCTTGGTCCCCTTTCCCTTGCCCTGTTTCTTAGTCAGAGCAAACATTTTCTTGATGGCCTCCTCCGTCTTCTTCTTGTCTGAGAACTGGAGGAGGCGCTCAGCCGTTTTGCGGAAGCTGGCCGTGTTGAGCACCCGGCCCAGGATGTGTCTCTCCAGCTGCTGGAAAACAGGCTTGGCATGCTGGAGGTTGTCCTCTACTACGTTGACATACTCCTCCACCTCCTCTGGCGTGTCATTCTGCACTCCTGCTGCTTTCTCAAACACAATCTTCTTCTGGTCCACCAGTACCATGGCGAACAGAGGCTTGTTGGTCACCTCTCCTGTCAGAAGGTAGATGGTGTAGGTGTGCTCGTTGGTGGTCAGGTAAATGTCCACTCTATTAGCATCACCACGCAAGCTAAAGCTCTGCACGTCCACCCCCGGCCCAAAGAAGATGTAGGCCACCCTGGTGTGTGGGTACCTCAGTGGCATTGTCACATTCACATAGTTAGAGCCATTATAGGGGTAACCACGTGGATAGTTCCAGTACCCCAAGACCCCTTTCTCGCTGAAGCCTGTGTCATCCAGCCAGAACATTTTATACGGGTCTTCACCGTGTCTGACAAAGGCTCCGTGCACACCATCTATTTTGGCTTCCTGAAAGGGCAGGTCCGTGTTGTGGAAGAAGGCGCTCATGGCCCTTGTTGGGCTGTCTGTCTCCAGATGGATATGATCCACTAGGACCAGCAGCTGGGGGTGCAGGAGCAGCAGGTTCCTCTGGAAGCTCCTGATCTTCAGGTCAGGGTTGTAGGCCGACTGGCCTTCCCCACGGATGAACACCATGCCCTGCCTCTCCAGAGTCGCCTCCACCCTGCCCTGGGCGTCCGCCGCCAGCCCAACCTTGTACTTCAGCCACTTGGAGTCACAGGCCTCGGTGACCTGACCGTCCCATGGCTTGAAACAGCTCCCTGAGGCAGCCGGGGAGAACAGCACTGCGTTGTTGAGGAAGGTGTACTTGGGCCCGTACAGAGCCTCTGTGATAAAAGGAACACCGTTAGGGGCGAACGTAAAGGTGTTCTGGTCAGGGTGCTCGTGGCCAGCGTTAAAGTTCCGCCACCCTTTGATCCAGTCTTTGTACTTGTTCCTGTGAACGATGTCAAATATGGCCTGTCCACCCAGCTTCCCCGACTTGAAGGAGAGGAAGGTGTGGTTGGTGTCTGCGGGTAAAGCACTTCCATACGTGACGACCCCCCAGTCCTCAAAGTAGTGGAGTTGGGATGTACCGAAGTCTGCAGGAGCCCTGGGAGTCAGGCTTGGATCATACCTGCAGAATTGAAAAAACAACAACACATTAATTTCATACATTCAAATTAAGCTGCTCAAAAAGAAGTTTTACATTCAGAATGGAGTAAATGATTTCATTATCAGTACAATAATAAAATGTAGGTCTAAATCCATACAATACAGCATATTTAACAGTACAACTAAACCAGCAGACAAGAGCGAAAGCGAGAGAGAGTGACTCAGTCTCACCAGATGAACTCTGTGTGCAGTGTGCACCATCTCTGTCCCTTCCCGGCCTGTCCCGGCCCCTCCAACACCCGGTTCTGACGGATCAGCTCAGCCAGCCAGTTCCCACTGCCGTTCCTCATCACGTATCTGTCCAGGAACACCAGCTGGCTCTCAGGCCCGTAGAACCAATTGTAGTTGGAATCTGCTATGGCTACAGTCCTCTGGAACCCTGGTGAGATGGAACAGGCCAGGGCCAAAGATCCATATGGATTATTTTACAGTTAAAATATAGGAGGGGGCAACTGCAATAGTGGCCATTCATACTGGTTTGTTTGAGAAATATTGAATGTTATTATCATAAATCTCTTACAAATATGAAGTGACAGCTACATACTGATTTGTCCAAGGTCCAGTTTGGTTGTACAAACAATATACCTTCCTATGATTAAATCTTGAGTAGTCTACAAAATGTAAGTAATACGGTACATGTTGTACAGATATACAGTGTATTCAGAAAGTATTCATACCCCTTGACTTTTTCCACATTTTGTTGTGTTACAGCCTGAATTCAAAATGGATTACATATTACATTTTTTACACATCTAGACACAATACCCCACAATGACAAAGTGAAAACATGTTTTTTGCAAATGTATTGAAAATGAAATACAGAAATACATTATCTCATTTACATAAGTATTCACACCCCTGAGTCAATACATGTTAAAATCACCATTGGCAGCAATAACAGGTGTGAGTCTTTCTGGGTATGTCTCTAAGAGCTTTGCACACCTGGTTTATACAATATTTGCACATTATTAATTTTAAATTATTCAAGCTCTGTCAAGTTGATCATTGCTAGACAGCCATTTTCAAGTCTTGCCATAGATTTTTAAGCCGATTTAAGTCAAAACTGTCACTAGGCCACTCAGGAATGTTCAATGTCGTCTTGGTAAGCAACTCCAGTGTATATTTGGTCTTGTGTTTTAGGTTATTGTCCTGCTGAAAGGTGAATTCATCTCCCAGTGTCCCGTGGAAAGCAGACTAAACCAGGTTTTCCTCTAGGATTTTGCATGTGCTTAGCTCCATTCCGTTTCTTTTTTATCCTGGAAAACTCCCCAGTCCTTAACGATTACAAGCATACCCATAGCATGATGCAGCCACCACTATGCTTGAAAATATGGAGAGTGTTATTCAGTAATGTGTTGTATTGGATTTGCCCCAAACATAACACTTTGTATTCAGGACAAAAAGTTAATTGCTTTGGCACATTATTTTCAGTATTACTTTGGTGACTTGTTGCAAACAGGGTGCATGTTTTAGAATATTTTTTATTCTGTACAGGTTTCCTTCTTTTCAAGCTATCAATTATGTTAGTATTGTGGAGTAACTACAGCGTTGTTGATCCATCCTCAGTTTTCTCCTATCACAGCCATTAAACTCTGCAACTGTTTTAAAGTCACCATTGGCCTCATGGTGAAATCCCTGAGCGGTTTCCTTCCTCTTCGGCAACTGAGTTAGGAAGGACGCCTGCATCTTTGTAATGACTGGGTGTATTGATACACCATCCGAAGTGTAATTAATAACTTCACCATGCTCAAAGGGATATTCAATGTCTGCTTTTTTACCCATCTATTAATAGTTATTATTATTATTATTATTATTATTATTATTATTATTAGGTGCCCTTCTTTGCAAGGCACTGGAAAACGTCCCTGGTCTTTGTCCTTGAATCTGTGTTTGAAATTCACTGCACGACTAAGCGACCTTACAGATAATTGTATGTGCGGGGTACAGAGTTGAGGTAGTTCTTCAAAAATCATGTTAAACACTATAATTGCGAAATGTTTACTCCTGAACTTATTTAGGCTTGCCATAACAAATTATGTTTTTAGAAATGTTTACAAATTAGTTAAAAATTAAAAGCTGAAATGTCTTGAGTCAATAAGTATTCATACTTATTGACTGAAGACATTTCAGCTTTTCATTTTTAATTCATTTGTAAACATTTCTAAAAACATTATTCCACTTTGACATTATGGGGTATTGTTTGTAGGCCAGTGACACAAAATCTTAATTTAATCTATTTTAAATTCAGGCTGTAACACAACAAAATGTGGAAAAAGTCAAGGGGTGTGAATATTTTCTGAAGGCATTGTAGGATCTTAATTTGAGCCAGTTTGCTACAGCAGGAAAATAATCACGCAGCAACAGGAAATGTGAATTATAATGTGGATTATAATGAATGGACATTTTTTTATACATTTGTCAAGTCTGACATTTCAAAGTTGAAATTACAAACGTCAGAAGCCTATGTTAAACCTCAAATACACTACACATCTTACATATGTAGCTTCAACAGAACACATTATTATTTTTGAATTTTTAACACAAATGTCAAAAATGCATGGTATGCCATGTTCTAAAAGGGAACAATAAACTACAGGCCCTGTTGAAATCAGCAGCTCCCTAGCTGTAATGCTGAAGCCATTTCCCCAACACACACAGTTCCCATACATGTTGCTCACTCTCAGGATCTAAGAGAAATGGCAGTTTGGCGTGAAAAGGTATCTTAAAACCTAGCAACCGGTAGTAAATATTTAACCACAATAAATCACTTGTAAGCCAAAGAAATAATAAATAACAGCAATAACCAAGCGGTGTGACAATACATGTTTATATATATATATATATATATATATATATATATATATACAGTGGGGGAAAAAAGTATTTAGTCAGCCACCAATTGTGCAAGTTATCCCACTTAAAAAGATGAGAGAGGCCTGTAATTTTCTTCATAGGTACACGTCAACTATGACAGACAAATTGAGAAAAAAAAATCCTGAAAATCACATTGTAGGATTTTTAATGAATTTATTTGCAAATTATGGTGGAAAATAAGTATTTGGTCACCTACAAACAAGCAAGATTTCTGGCTCTCACAGACCTGTAACTTCTTATTTAAGAGGCTCCTCTGTCCTCCACTCATTACCTGTATTAATGGCACCTGTTTGAACTTGTTATCAGTATAAAAGACACCTGTCCACAACCTCAAACAGTCACACTCCAAACTCCACTATGGCCAAGACCAAAGAGCTGTCAAAGGACACCAGAAACAAAATTGTAGACCTGCACCAGGCTGGGAAGACTGAATCTGCAATAGGTAAGCAGCTTGGTTTGAAGAAATCAATTGTGGGAGCAATTATTAGGAAATGGAAGACATACAAGACCACTGATAATCTCCCTCGATCTGGGGCTCCACGCAAGATCTCACCCCGTGGGGTCAAAATGATCACAAGAACGGTGAGCAAAAATCCCAGAACCACACAGGGGGACCTAGTGAATGACCAGCAGAGAGCTGGGACCAAAGTAACAAAGCCTACCATCAGTAACACACTACGCCGCCAGGGACTCAAATCCTGCAGTGCCAGACGTGTCCCCCTGCTTAAGCCAGTACATGTCCAGGCCCGTCTGAAATTTGCTAGAGTGCATTTGGATGATCCAGAAGAGGATTGGGAGAATGTCATATGGTCAGATGAAACCAAAATATAACTTTTTGGTAAAAACTCAACTCGTCGTGTTTGGAGGACAAAGAATGCTGAGTTGCATCCAAAGAACACCATACCTACTGTGAAGCATGGGGGTGGAAACATCATGCTTTGGGGCTGTTTTTCTGCAAAGGGACCAGGACGACTGATCCGTGTAAAGGAAAGAATGAATGGGGCCATGTATCGTGAGATTTTGAGTGAAAACCTCCTTCCAACAGCAAGGGCATTGAAGATGAAACGTGGCTGGGTCTTTCAGCATGACAATGATCCCAAACACACCGCCCGGGCAACGAAGGAGTGGCTTCGTAAGAAGCATTTCAAGGTCCTGGAATGGCCTAGCCAGTCTCCAGATCTCAACCCCATAGAAAATCTTTGGAGGGAGTTGAAAGTCCGTGTTGCGCAGCGACAGCCCCAAAACATCACTGCTCTAGAGGAGATCTGCATGGAGGAATGGGCCAAAATACCAGCAACAGTGTGTGAAAACCTTGTGAAGACTTACAGAAAACGTTTGACCTGTGTCATTGCCAACAAAGGGTATATAACAAAGTATTGAGAAACTTTTGTTATTGACCAAATACTTATTTTCCACCATAATTGGCAAATAAATTCATTAAAAATCCTACAAACTTCAGACGGGCCTGGACATGTACTGGCTTAAGCAGGGGGACACGTCTAGCACTGCAGGATTTGATTCCCTGGCGGCGTAGTGTGTTACTGATGGTAGGCTTTGTTACTTTGGTCCCAGCTCTCTGCAGGTCATTCACTAGGTCCCCCCGTGTGGTACTGGGATTTTTGCTCACCGTTCTTGTGATCATTTTGACCCCACGGGGTGAGATCTTGCGTGGAGCCCCAGATCGAGGGAGATTATCAGTGGTCTTGTATGTCTTCCATTTCCTAATAATTGCTCCCACAGCTGATTTCTTCAAACCAAGCTGCTTACCTATTGCAGATTCAGTCTTCCCAGCCTGGTGCAGGTCTACAATTTTGTTTCTGGTGTCCTTTGACAGCTCTTTGGTCTTGGCCATAATGGAGTTTGGAGTGTGACTGTTTGAGGTTGTGGACAGGTGTCTTTTATACTGATAACAAGTTCAAACAGGTGCCATTAATACAGGTAACGAGTGGAGGACAGAGGAGCCTCTTAAAGAAGAAGTTACAGGTCTGTGAGAGCCAGAAATCTTGCTTGTTTGTAGGTGACCAAATACTTATTTTCCACCATAATTTGCAAATAAATTCATTAAAAATCCTACAATGTGATTTTCTGGATTTTCTTTTCTCAATTTGTCTGTCATAGTTGACGTGTACCTATGATGAAAATTACAGGCCTCTCTCATCTTTTTAAGTGGGAGAACTTGCACAATTGGTGGCTGACTAAATACTTTTTCCCCCCACTGTATATATATATATATATATATATATATATATATATATATATATATATATATATATATATATATATGTATATTTTTTTTTTTTTGGGGGGGGGGGGGGGGGGGGGGGTAGATCAGCTTAATATTGCAGATAGATTGTAACTTCCATCAATGTAATTGTCTGCATCACTTCCAATCCCCCATGTTTATTATATACACTGCTCAAAAAAATAAAGGGAACACTTAAACAACACATCCTACATCTGAATGAATGAAATAATCTTATTAAATACTTTTTTCTTTACATAGTTGAATGTGCTGACAACAAAATCACACAAAAATGATCAATGGAAATCAAATGTATCAACCCATGGAGGTCTGGATTTGGAGTCACCCTCAAAATTAAAGTGGAACACCACACTACAGGCTGATCCAACTTTGATGTAATGTCCTTAAACAAATCAAAATGAGGCTCAGTAGTGTGTGTGGCCTCCACGTGCCTGTATGACCTTCCTACAACGCCTGGGCATGCTCCTGATGAGGTGGCGGATGGTCTCCTGAGGGATCTCCTCCCAGACCTGGACTAAAGCATCCGCCAACTCCTGGACAGTCTGTGGTGCAACGTGCCGTTGGTGGATGGAGCGAGACATGATGTCCCAGATGTGCTCAATTGGATTCAGGTCTGGGGAACGGGCGGGCCAGTCCATAGCATCAATGCCTTCCTCTTGCAGGAACTGCTGACACACTCCAGCCACATGAGGTCTAGCATTGTCTTGCATTAGGAGGAACCCAGGGCCAACCGCACCAGCATATGGTCTCACAAGGGGTCTGAGGATCTCATCTCGGTACCTAATGGCAGTCAGGCTACCTCTGGCAAGCACATGGAGGGCTGTGCGGCCCTCCAAAGAAATGCCACCCCACACCATGACTGACCCACCGCCAAACCGGTCATGCTGGAGGATGTTGCAGGCAGCAGAACGTTCTCCACGGCGTCTCCAGACTCTGTCACGTCTGTCACATGTGCTCAGTGTGAACCTGCTTTCATCTGTGAAGAGCACAGGGTGCCAGTGGCGAATTTGCCAATCTTGGTGTTCTCTGGCAAATGCCAAACATCCTGCATGGTGTTGGGCTGTAAGCACAACACCCACCTGTGGACGTCGGGCCCTCATACCACCCTCATGGAGTCTGTTTCTGACCGTTTGAGCAGACACATGCACATTTGTGGCCTGCTGGAGGTCATTTTGCAGGGCTCTGGCAGTGCTCCTCCTGCTCCTCCTTGCACAAAGGCGGAGGTAGCGGTCCTGCTGCTGGGTTGTTGCCCTCCTACGGCCTCCTCCACGTCTCCTGATGTACTGGCCTGTCTCCTGGTAGCGCCTCCATGCTCTGGACACTACGCTGACAGACACAGCAAACCTTCTTGCCACAGCTCGCATTGATGTGCCACCTGGATGAGCTGCACTACCTGAGCCACTTGTGTGGGTTGTAGACTCCGTCTCATGCTACCACTAGAGTGAAAGCACCGCCAGCATTCAAAAGTGACCAAAACATCAGCCAGGAAGCATAGGAACTGAGAAGTGGTCTGTGGTCACCACCTGCAGAACCACTTCTTTATTGGGGGTGTCTTGCTAATTGCCTATAATTTCCACCTGTTGTCTATTCCATTTGCACAACAGCATGTTAAATTTATTGTCAATCAGTGTTGCTTCCTAAGTGGACAGTTTGATTTCACAGAAGTGTGATTGACTTGGAGTTACATTGTGTTGTTTAAGTGTTCCCTTTATTTTTTTGAGCAGTGTATATTTAAACTGTACTGTGATGTTTTACAAAAGTTCTGAACCTTTCTATTCTCATTGCTTCTACAGATTGTGAATTAAAAATAAAAAATTTTGCTAAAAGTATTATTATATTATTGATCGATTGACTATGACTTTTCAGATCACCCAGTAATGCTATCTGCAAGGTTAGCTCCAGGTAAATATTGCAATCCTTTAGCCATTCCTGGACCTGTGTCCAAAAACAAGCTACAAATGGACAGACCCAAAACAAATGATCTAATGATTCTGTCTCTTCACAGCAAAATCTGCAGAGCTGGGAAGATTGTATCCCTCATATAAATAACATTCTATTGGTAGCAAGAATTTTATATAATAATTTAAATTGAAAGATTCAAATTTTTGAATCCGGTGTCATTTTGCGTGTCAGTTCATAAACACTAACCATGGGATCGGTACGTCAAAAATCTCTTCCCAACTATTTTTCAATCTATATGGGACGGCTGTCAATCCTTTGGTCCTTAAATGAAACTGATATACTTTTTTTATTTATCACAGTTTTCCTTAACCAATTATGTTTTTTAATGCAAGGCCGACAGACAAGTTCCTTACTTTCTCCCCCTTCCACTTTCCTCTTCCATTTTTGCGGTAAGGTTGCAATTATTTGGTTGTAATTTTGGGTAGAGCAGACATTTCCATATGTGTTTGTTAGCTGCATGTGCGACATAACTCCACCAGTCCTACCGATGATATCATTTACGAAGATTATACCTTTTTTAAAAATTTTGTCAAAAAATAAAGGTTTTTTGTCAATTAGTATATTTGAATTTAACCACAATATTTGTTGCATTATTTGTTCTGTCGTTTCTGGAGGATTAAATTGAAATTGCAACCAACTTTCTATGGCTTGTTTTAGAAATAGTGATATTTGGGAGATGATTTCCTTTTCAAATAACTGAAAATGAGTGGTTGTAATCTGAATAAAGGGAAAAAGGCCATTCTTGAACATTGGGTGAGACAGTCTTACTAATTTGCTTGAGAACCATACATGTTTGTGTTTCCCATTCTGAAAGATTGTCTGTTTACAACATTCCTGCTGTGATGCAAAGCTAGATCTTGGACAAACAAATGTCCCATGCCAAATATTGTGGGAGTCCAACAAGTCCAACACTAAAATACGGCTACAGTTTACAATCTAACTCATTGGAACACCAACGACCCCCATCATTTGCACACATAGACAGGGTTGGGGAGCAACTGATTACATGTAATCTGATAAATAAATAAAATGGAAGCGTAATCAGTTACATTACGAGCACAAATGTTGTAATCAGATTACAGGTACGTTTGAGAAACTAGATCTCCTGGCTGCTGTAATTGGAGCTGCTCAGCCCCAGCCCCAGTCACAATATGGAGAGTGTTGGCAGCACTGCAGAGGAGAGGGATCAGCACAGCTCTGACAGGCCTCCAGGAAGCTAATAAGTGCAAGCATTCATACCCCATATCAGGACAAATGAGTAGTTACACTCTCTAACATGGTGGTAATGCACACTGGGGGTTTTGATGCCTAATCTACTTATAACTTGGGAAACCTTGCCAAGAAGGACGCTGGCTGGGTGCAGGGCCAGGGCAGGTGCCTCAGCAGTTCACTAAGGCATTTATGAACAGATTGCTGACTGGCATTGTATTTCCTCAAAACAATGTTCTTGCTCCCAATACAATATCCATATTACCTTTTAATACATCACGTGACATCTAGACTAAATGCACAGTTAGAGGTAAAAAGTTGATCGAACCAATCAACTTCTGAAAAGGGAAACATTGAGATAACACACCATTAAGGGGAGAAATTATGTTCTATTGAATGGAAGAGCAGAGCAGAGTACAGTCGTGGTCAAAAGTTTTGAGACTAATTTTCACAAAGTCTGCTGCCTCAGTTTTGATGATGGCAATTTGCATATATTCCAGAATGTCATGAAGAGTGATCAGATGAATTGCAATTAATTGCAAAGTCCCTCTTTGCCATGAAAATGAACTTAATCCCCCAAAAACATTTCTACTGCATTTCAGCCCTGCCACAAAAGGACCAGCTGCCATCATGTCAATGATTCTCTCGTTAACACAGGTGAGAGTGTTGACGAGGACAAGGCTGGAGATCACTCTGTCATTCTGATTGAGTTAGAATAACAGACTGGAAGCTTTAAAAGGATGGTGGTGCTTGAAATAATTGTTCTTCCTCTGTTAACCATGGTTACCTGCAAGGAAACATGTGCCGTCATCATTGCTTTGCACAAAAAGGGCTTCACAGGCAAGGATATTGCTGCTAGTAAGATTGCACCTAAATCAACCATTTATCGGCTCATCAACAACTTCAAGGAGAGAGGTTCAATTGTTGTGAAGAAGGCGTCAGGGCGCCCAAGAAAGTCCAGCAAGCTCCAGGACCGTCTCCTAACGTTGATTCAGCTGCGGGATCGGGGCACCACCAGTGCAGAGCTTGCTCAGGAATGGCAGCAGGCAGGTGCGAGTGCATCTGCACGCACAGTGAGGCGAAGACTTTTGGAGGATGGCCTGGTGTAAAGAAGGGCAGCAAAGAAGCCACTTCTCTCCAGGAAAAACATCAGGGACAGACTGATATTCTGCAAAGGGTACAGGGATTGGACTGCTGAGGACTGGGGTAAAGTCATTTTCTCTGATGAATCCCCTTTCCGATTGTTTGGGGCATCCCGAAAAAAACTTGTCCGGAGAAGACAAGGTGAGCGCTACGATCAGTCCTGTGTCATGGGCCTCCTGTAGCTCAGTTGGTAGAGCATGGCGCTTGCAACGCCAGGGTTGTGGGTTTGATTCCCACGGGGGGCCAGTATGAAAAATGTATGCACTCACTAAAACTGTAAGTCGCTCTGGATAAGAGCGTCTGCTAAATGGCTAAAATGTAAATGTAATGCCAACAGTAAAGCATCCTGAGACCATTCATGTGTGGGGTTGCTTCTCAGCCAAGGGAGTGGGCTCACTCACAATTTTGCCTAAGAACACAGCCATGAATAAAGAATGGTACCAACACATCCTCCGAGAGCAACTTCTCCCAACCATCCAAGAACAGTTTGGTGATGACCAATGCCTTTTCCAGCATGATGGAGCACCTTGCCATAAGGCAAAATTGATAACTAAGTGGCTCGGGGAACAAAACATCGAAATGTTGGGTCCATGGCCAGGAAACTCCCCAGACCTTAATCCCATTGAGAACTTGTGGTCGATCCTCAAGAGGCGGGTGGACAAACAAAAACCCACAAATTCTGACAAACTCCAAGCATTGATTATGCAAGAATGGGCTGCCATCAGTCAGGATGTGGCCCAGAAGTTAATTGACAGCATGCCAGGGCGGATTGCAGAGGTCTTGAAAAAGAAGGGTCAACACTGCAAATATTGACTCTTTGCATAAACGTAATGTAATTGTCAATAAAAGCCTTTGACACTTATGGAATGCTTGTAATTATACTTCAGTATACCATAGTAACATCTGACAAAAATATCTCATAACACTGAAGCAGCGAACTTTGTGAAGACCAATACTTGTGTCATCCTCAAAACTTTTGACCACGACTGTACACAACATCTATAAGAGTTGTATTACCTGGAAGGATGGTCCTGTACATGAAGGCAAAGTGTTTGTGGAGCCAGGGGTGGTTGAAGTGGCTGATGGAGAAGTGTCTCTGCACCAGGAACATGTACTGGAATAGAGAGCGGGTGGTGTAGGTCCCGTAGGCCACGCCCTCGTACAGCGAGCCGTCCGTCACGTCTTGGAGGAGTACCATAGACTTCTCCATGATGGCCAGAACCTGCTTAGTCCACAGGTAGGCCTCCTGCAGATAACCTGGAACAGAACAGAGGAGAAACCAGGGTCAGCATAGTGGGTTTGAGATGGATTGCTTTTAGCCACCTAAAGTGTTTGTTGTCATGACTTTAACTAAGCTAGGTGTAATATGTGGTCTCAAGTGAGGTACTGTAGTCATAAATGCAGTTAAAGCTACTCAGTCATTCATATTCCTATTTCAAAATTCCGATGTGTAAATTTGTATTTCCAGGAACTTCATACAGGAGCCTTAACTCACGTTATATGGAAAGCATGATGCTACCATACCAGACTAATGTAGAGCGTCTCTCTCTCTCTCTCTCTCTCTCTCTCTCTCTCTGGATCACACACATAGAGTTTACTATGAGAAGAAGTGACCACATAAACACTCCAGCCACACTTCATTGAGGAATCCCAGTCCTTCACTGGTGCCTGGCAGCTACCCAGTGGACTGGCTCCAGCCACCCACTCACCGGAGCCCACAGCCCAGCCCCTGAGCCGGCATCCACCCCTGTGTTTGGTTTGGCCTAGGAGATCAGTGGCCTACACATAGCAGGTATTTACCATCGAACAGGAACTGCTGGCACACAAAGATCACATTTCCACAAACAGCATCTCACTCCACTAACGCCCCCACTCCGGTTCCACACAGTGTTTGGACGGTTCTGCATTTTCCATTATTAGACAAGGGCATCATGTAGGAATTCATTAACCAAAAAAATAACATAACTACAATAAAATATAAAAAAGTAGATCAAATAGAATAGAAAAAATAACATATAATTAAATCAAGTCAGGGGAATACCCAAACTAATCTGATTAACCTTATAAAGTCAAAAGCTCCAATAATCTTAATGACCAGTAAGGAATTCTACCACCCATGGCTCAATCACATCACATACAGTAACACTGTGCTCTAGCCATGACCTCCACAATCGATCTGGAGCCTAATGATGTGCCTCAGTTTACCTAATGATTGGCTTAGTGGATAATGTTGCTGTCATGCTGGGGGCTTATCCATTGCTTCTCTTCAGCCATGCTGTTAGTGATGTTACTGGCTCTGGAGCTCAGGAGCCCTCATCAGTACACATTACTCACCCACACCATGACGTTGTGGTTCACAGGAATGTGGAAGGTCAAGGGATTTACTATTTATATGGTGCCATTTGACTTGCCTTCTACTCCTTTGAGGTTCTTCACTAATTATCATTTGATGAGCCATTAAAGGAGAAATTCTATTTTTTACAACCAAATCTCTATTTTTTATGTAAATTGAATGTTATAGAAGGGTCCAGACACCTTTTTTGTGATTTCACGTTTTAGAGAAACTTACCCCAAACAGCAAATATCTTCCTCATCCTCATTGTGTAGTATGGGGGCCCTGAAAAAACATGAACAAAATAAAAAATAGAACACCTCATAACGTCCTTTCAGAAATGGCAAAGCTCTTAATATTTTGATGCAGATCTTTAGATGTTGTACACATGAAGTTGTGTCATTCCGAAATGTATCTGCAACGTTATATGCCCTTTTGCGCAACTCGAGCCGTCTCGAGCGGTTCCATTTTCCGTGTAGCCTGCTGCTACAGGTAACTGCCAAAATAAAGGAAACACCAACATATAGTTTCTTAATAGGGTGTTGGACCACCACGGGCCAGAACAGCTTCAATGCGCCTTGGCATAGATTCTACAAGTGTCTGGAACTTCCTGTGTGGAAGTACCTCATACTTTCAATATACTTTGTATCCCTCGTTTACTCAAATGTTTCTTTTCTTTTGGCAGTTACCTGTAAAATGGACGGAGAGGTATCGCTCGAGTCACAACAAAATGGAATATAACGTTGCAGATAAAGTTCGGAATGACACAATTTCATGTGTTCATGTGTATCTGCATCACAATAAAGAGAGCTTTGCCATTTCTAAAAATATGTATTTGGGTGTTTTTTGGAGTCTTTGTTCATGTTTTTCCGGGCCCCCATACTACACAATGAGGATGATGAAGTGATTTACTTTTCGGTGTAAGTTTCTCTAAAATATGTAAAATCACAAAAAAGGTGTCAGGACTAGGGCTGTTGCGGTGACCGTATTACCGCCACACCGGCGGTCACGAGTCATGAAGGCAGTCAAATTCCACATGACCGTTTAGTCACGGTAATTAGGCTTCTCCAAGCTCTGATGCTGCTGCTGGTCATTAGTAGCCTACCAAACTTGCTAACTGCCTGGTACTCAGCACTCTATTGTCCCTCTAATCACTCTGACATCAATGCAAATGTGATCAAAAATCTAATCAAACACTTCATGTGAGCCCATGAGCTCATGTTGAGCAACATTTCTATAGGCTATGCAATTGCGGGAGAAAATAGTGTCATGGCCGCTAATAAAAAGAGGAGGATCCCATCAGCTTTCTATAGGCTAGGCCTACTGTAATTATTTCTCAACTTTCCTAATATTAAGCACATTGCTTATATTTACAACAGGAGTATAGCCTACCTGGCTATAATAATATAATAATAATAATATGCCATTTAGCAGACGCTTTTATCCAAAGCGACTTACAGTCATGCGTGCATACATTTTTGTTTGTATACCATTCGCTATTTAAGTGCATAGATTACATGTACTTTTTCCCGCTGCCCATGTTTCGATACAGGTGCATGATAATGGTCCATTCTAAATCAAAATAAATGTCACACATATATAATTTAGTATATGTAAAGACAATATTAAATCAAGAATAGTCTGATGGGTGACAATATTAGCCTATCACTTGTGAATGATGCCCAGCATAAGTAACAATGCCTTTTTTTTTTTCTCATCATAGTCGCACACCTCATGTAGCCTAGCCCATAAGCCTATATGTTTTAATAAGGTTGGTATCACAACTAAAGTGGCCAAATAACTTCTTAAAATTAAGCACATTAATCCACTTTACAAGGGGTGTAGAGCCTAACTGGCATATCTAAGCAGCGCGTGAGTTTCAAGTTTGGGGAAGATCATTTTCACCATAAAAATTCACCTTTATAATAAAAGCATTACATGCATAATTGCATTTGCGGTCACTTTTGATAATGGTGTTTTCCGCCAATGGAACATTCGCGCTTATAGCCTACTACCATGTGCGCATTGCTGCACTTATAATGTGAAGAAATAGCCTAATAGTTTATCAACATTTTAAGCTAAATGTTCTAATCTGTTGCGTCAGCCACATTGCATAAAAAAGTTTTTTTGATGCTAGTGGTTGTATTAATTTGGGATCTATCGCATCCCACAACTGTCTCAGACTATGTTTGGAATATGTATTTCTCATACAGAATAGAATAGGTCAACTTTTGTACTATGGGGGATAGTAGATTGACATAGGCTAGTGCTTTTGCTGTTCGTTAGGCTTACTCATCTTGTTGGCTGACGAAAAGTAAATGTGGATAGTTCTTTCAATATCTTCAATATGCACCTTGGAATTGGATAAGGATGCGCGCAGTTGCGTCCCCGATGTGTCTGTCTTCACTTGTAGCCTGTGAGAAAGACCCGATCACGTGACGGAGAGCCATGTGAATGAGAGGCACTTCGGATTGCGCAGCACACTCAGGGAGTAGGGCACAACGCAGCACTCTGGGACGCAAAAGGCATGGATTTTTTTAGGGGGCATTACAGCCACAGGGGATGCCGCCGTGAAATTCGAGGCATTATCAAGTGCTTGTCAAATTGTGAATGAGAGACTATTGGAGTGTGTACAGCCTGCGCAAAAAACAAAGCAGATCTCATGCCTTTCAAGTTACTTTTTTCAAATCATCATTAGAGTCTCGTCATGCAGCCTTACAATGTATTAAAAATCCAAACATATAGGCCAACGTTTGTAGAACAACTAAAGTTACATTAATATCTCTAAATTAAGCATATAGGAGTACCTATTTCTTTGTTAACCGCTCAACACAGAATAGCCGCATGTGCGCACTCCTTCAAATCATTTGGAGAAAATATTTATATTTTATTCAGCTTTGTTCAATTGTATTCTTCATACTATAAAATAATATAAAATAATGCCACGGAATTATAAGCATATCTTGTCTGCTAAATGAACTAGTGTAGCCCACAGCCATTTGGCATTGCCACATCAGGACCTAACATAAGGACAATTCAGAGTATGCTATTATTTTCTTCTGAAATAGGCTACATTTTCTTCATATCATGCTTCTTTAGACCTGTCTAAAATAAATAATGGATTTATTGTGAAGGTGTAGACTATATTACATGGATATATTAGATTTTTTTAAATGGCTTGTAGGCTATGTGTGGAAGCCAGGAGGTGCTAAATGTGTTTATGTTAATTAACGGTCAATTACCGCGAGACCGAAAGTTATTTGCTTGACAATCACCGGCTGACGAAATTTCGTGACCGCAACAGCCCTAGTCTGGACCCTTCTATAACATGCCATTTACTTCAAAAATAGAGATTTGGTTATAAAAAAAGTAAACTTATCCTTTAAGTTGAGGGAAATTCCTGATTCCTCTTATTTCATTTCAAAGAATGAACAAAGATTGATTTCCAAGAATAAAATAACAAAATATGACATAGGCTGAATGCAATGATAGTGGTCTGACAAGAGTTTCTGCTTCATTTATTGACATGAGGCCAATCAAGTTGGTTTAGATTATACAAGACGGGAGAATGAACAAGTTTAGACAATTGCTTAAAGCTGAGAGTAATGGCAATATCATTTTCAATACTGTACCAACCGGGCAAAGACGTCAGATCTACACACAATTTTATTTGACATTTGATAAAGTTCTCAACAAACTGTCAAAACGTAAACCAACCCTGTTGTTAATTTGTGTTTGAATTTGATGTAAATTATATTGAAATTTTTATTTTATACCTTTATTTAACTAGGCAAGTCAGTTAAGAACACATTCTTATTTACAATGATGGCCTACACCGGCCAAACCCGTACGACGCTGGGCCAATTGTGCGCCGCCCTATGGGACTCCCAATCACGGCCAGTTGTGATACAGCCTGGAATCGAACCAGGGGGTCTGTAGTGACGCCTCAAACACTGAGATGCAGTGCCTTAGACCGCTGCGCCACTCGGGAACAAGGTTGACTCAACCCATTTTGCCCAGAGGTTATACAGTATGTGTAAAATATACACTTTTCCGCAAATCAATAAAGTGTTCATGTATAACAGCTTTTGTTTAAGGAAGCAACACAATGTAGTGTGACCGTGGCTATGACTGTGAATGGCTCCCAGACAACTCGAGCTCCTGGGTGGCCATAGCAGACAGGTGGGTGATTGAGGTCATAGGTTAACTACTGATGAACCCATGGTAAACTACTGCACACATGGCTGTCCAATTAAGATCCCAGCAAGGCAGCCCAGAAGCCAAGCGCCAACATGCAGACACCTGCATCAGGAATGCACTGATCCCCTATAAGCTGCTGTCCTGTGATCTAGTCATCTGATCCACTCTCTTCTCGTGGCTCACCCTTTGGACAGAGCCCATACAATATCTCTTCTGATGATAAGACTATAGTTTACACAGTAGTTATTTGCTGATATTAACTTTCTCATAGAGGTCTTAAGAGGTTTTATGCTTTGGACAGATATGTCTTCCTTTATTTTCAACAGATGGAGCCTATCCCTTCCTTATAAATAAATGCTTTGAATGGGCTTTTTACTTCCCCTAACAAATAACACACATCTTTTAAAGAGAGGTGCTGAATTCTTCCATAAATCTCAGTACTATAGACCTATTCAGTACAATGGCTCTGAATTAAATGTGACATGAAGCCAATGTTTGCTAGGATTGATTTTTGGCAGAATCTTATTTGCAAAGTTCCATTTATTCATTGGGTTCTTGATAGAATAATATTTGCCCGTAATGTCATACTTTTGCACATGAATGATACATTTGTGACAAAGGAATGCAGGAAGTGAATATGCACACAGTTAAATAATTATGCCAGAGTTAGGCCCCTAAATAAACTGGTTCAAGAATGAGCAAGGTAACGGTTTCTGCCTTTTCTCAATCTGCTATACCCTAAGCAAAAACTGTATGTTAGTTTAGCTACCTTTCAACAATTTGCAGCTGATCTAAAACATATAAGTGCAAAGTCAGCTTTAAACATTTATACAGTCAGCACATAGACCCCAGGCCATGACCAAATTACGTTTATTTCCAAGGTAACAGAAGAGTTAACAACCAAAGCTGCTGGACCAAACTCGTTTTTTCCTGGACTTGAAACAAAAAAGCTGATTCAAAACAAAAAGGGGGTGCTATAATTCTCCAGAGTCTGCACCGCCTGCCTACCCCCCTCTATTTTTTCAAACCTCTGCTCACTATCATAAACCAGCCTCAAAGAAAAACTACGATGACCACAGTAATCTCCATAAGCCTGCTGTCATTTAGTTTACATCGACTCTCATTCTTTCTGTACCAGAAACACTTCCCTTGTAAACAAACCAATCTATACTGTAGCACTACTTGGAACAACAAGAACAACTTCACCTTCCTTTGGCCTCTCTGCCTCTCTGACTCAAACATTCAATAAAATACAACCAGGAAATTGAAACCAAAACAATAGAAGGAACAGTTTTGAAATGAGCAGGAAATAATAAGGCCCTTTTTTCAGACTTACGTTCCTTCCTTAAGACTCTACTAATAGAAATACTGGGAAAAGGTCAATCCAGAATGTTATGGAATCGTGTGGAGAGTCTCCGCTTGAGAAACAATTATGAGGGATTAAGTGCAGCTATAGAGAATAACCCCGGGCTGACTGAACGGAAATTCCAGCCCAGAATTTGTCTACTCAGGGGCAGAGGGGGCTGCCTGGCAAGCGTCCACTGGAGGAACCAATCTTACTCAAGTCATATGGAGCTGGCCTGCAGCCATCCATTTAAGGCAAATGTGATTTCAAGTAACTCAGGAAGGATGTGACAGAGGAGGAATGAAGTTGCCAAGAAGAGGCCACAGTATTCCACAGAGGAACATGAATAGACTAAGTAGAAACTGACCAATCTGCTGGAGCTACACTGAGTGTACAAAACATTAGGAACACCTGCTCTTTCCATGACATAGACTGACCAGGTGAATCCAGGTGAAAGCTATGATCCCTTATTGATGTCACTTGTTAAATCCTCTTCAATCAGTTTAGATGAAGGGGAGGAGACAGGTTAAATAAGTATTTTTAAGCCTTGAGACAATTGAAGCATGGATTTAAGTGCCTTTGAACGGGGTATGGTAGTAGGTGCCAGGCACATCGGTTTTAGTGGGTCAAGAACTGCACCGCTGCTGGGTTTTTCACACTCAACAGTTTCCCATGTTTATCAAGAATGATCCACCACCCAAAGGACATCCAGCCAACTTGACACAACTGTGGGATACATTGGAATCAACATGGGCCTGCATCCCTGTGGAACGCTTTCCACACCTTGTAAAGTCCATGCCCCAACGAATTGAGGCAGTTCTGAGGGCAAAAGAGGGTGCAGCTCAATATTATGAAGGTGTTCCTAATGTTTTGTACACTCAGTGTATATCTATCTAGGCCAGTGTTTCCCAAACTCTGTCCTGCCCCCCTGGATGCACTTGTAGTTTTTTGCCCTAGCACTACACAGCTGATTCAAATAACCAACTCATCATCATGCTTTGATTATTTGAATCAGCTGTGTAGTGCTAGGGTAAAAAACTAAATGTGTTTTGGGGGGGCAAGGCATTTCTGTAGGAACCCTCTGAAAGCTGATTATGTAATAATACATTTGTTTGTGTTTATCTGCACACACACGTTCACAGTGCATGGACCAGCTGTACTCACCCTGGGCCATGTAGACCAGGCTGCCAGTGAGGAGAGCCACACAGTTGGTGGGCTGGTGGTTGTGCAGGTACTGGAAGCCCCAGCCGCGGATGTAGGACTTCTCATACATGAAGCGCGTAGCGTTGCCGATCACCTGCAGGAAGCGCTCCTGCTGCACCTTGCTCAGGTACTCATACAGGAAGTCATACGCCGTGGCGAAGCCAACCAGAGAGTGGGCTAGAGGAACCTCATCCCAGGGAGCATCTTTAACCAACCTGCAACACACGGAAAAGGATTGATGAGTACAGTAATCTGTAAATACGGGTTTATATTGTGCCTATATTTCCTAACTTTGAAAGACTTAATTCAAACTGAAACAGTAATAACAATATGTAGTATCCTTAAGAATAGTCTTGAATTAATTGAAATTCCTTTTACACACTAGCCCAAGCAAGGCTGCTGGTTCTTTTTCTGTTTTTTAAACCACTCATTGACCTGCTCAATTATCTGAATTACATTTTGTTCATTTTTTCTTCTTCTGTGAGCACAATGCGCAGTTTCTCTAGCGATAAATCAGATCAAGCTCAAATTGAGCAATGTAGTAGGGTTTCCAACAGTCCAATATTCTACATAGTTTAGTGCAGAAAACGTGGTAATTAACTACAACGACCATAATCCATTGCGTGCCTACTAGTCCGGTTTGAGACGAAGAGAAGAGACAGAAGTACGTGCGATCAAGAGAGATAGAGAGCAGCTGCTTCGTGAGGTATCACTACCTGAAAAGACATGATCTAAGATTGATATTTAGTATTCAGCAGTCATAAAAGTATAATAATAATATGCCATTTAGCAGACGCTTTTATCCAAAGCGACTTACAGTCATGCGTGCATAATTATTTTTGTGTATGGGTGGTCCCGGGGATCGAACCCACTACCCTGGCGTTACAAGCGCCGTGCTCTACCAGCTGAGCTACAGAGGACCTTATTCACTTTGAAAAACTACTAAAATAGTGACAGGATATGCAGCAGCTCTTATAGAGATGAGATGATGACTTGGAATTAAATAATAAAGTCATCAAATAGGCCTGACATTTTTTTAATATACACAACAACTGAAATATTTTATTAAAATGTGAATAAATGATGGTTAATAAGTGATAAGCAGTAATGGGCAGTCGCTACCATCATGGGACTTTTATTAATTGTTTTATTATCTGTTGTTACAGCATTCAACCCACATAACGCATAGTGCATTTAATGGCTAAAAACATTATCAAAACCTAAATCAAAAACCGTAATAATGTTTTTATCGAACCGAAACCGAACCGACCTCAAAACACACTATTTGCTCAGCACTAAAGGCTGCAATAAAAACAGAAAAAGGTAACTACATATTCTTGAAAGTTAAAGGTCATCAAAAGTGTAGACTTTAACTAATCTTTCTCAGGTCCATTTTATGATTTGGCAAAGATCAGCTACTAAATAGATTTTTGTTCTCTTTACCAAAAAACATGCAAAACAGCATTTTCACACGTTTTAAAGTCCAAAAACATATCCTGCCTTTTAAAGTGATTTAAAGTGCAATGTGTGCAATTTTAAAAGTAGCTGGCACCTCAGAAATGCAGAATGCTGACTGACTTGTATTTCTAAGAGCTACTAATTGTTAAATTGGCAAAATAGTCCTGACCCATGCATTAATGTCATATAACACAGGCTAAGAGGTGTTCTTAAAAAGCTCTCTCTGTGTAATTATAGTAAAATGTGGCAGTAACATGAAAAAGAAGGAAATTGTATTTTGAGCAGTTACCATTAAAATGCATGCCATGTAACTACATTTTCATCCCCATCTTGACAATCATTCTTCTCAGAACATATAAAAGACATATAGGTTGAAATCCGTTCCATCCATCACGTGGACCCATACACTTTACTCCGTGCCAAATATCAAAGCAGCTGCCTGCCTTACTTTCAAATGTGACTCTTTATTCACACATATCAAAGATATGCAGCTACCCTCTGGCAGCATTTCCTCCATTTGATGTAGCTAATACATTATTTCCATCTGTCAACGAGCTGTGTAAGTTCGTTGGAAATTAATTTGCCTTCTACATGGGTAGAAATTACATTGAATAAAAGGGGTGCTTGATTTCGACTTCATCCATAAAAAAACAAGTTAAAATATTTTTTGGGATGACAGTCTTTGGTTCACAAACCAGGTTTAATGCACTGTAAAAGTATTTAGAATGAGTACTGCTGTACTGTACTGTATATTACATTACGCCAAAGCACACAAGATGTCTCTTCTGTGTGTTTACACATGGACTGCCTTAAAACAAACCAGGGACCAGAATACACCACAAGATGGAGTTTCCCGGTCGGAATATGGTTCTCCTCGACAAGTTGTCAGAGACATTATTGAAGGTCACAGATACCACAGTTGACTGATTCCTGGAGCAACTTTTAAGGATCCCTGTGAGATTCAGAAACCATAGTAAACGTGTGGCTGAGGAGTGAACTCACATTGTATGTTGTTAAACTGTAAAAACGTGCTCAGTGGGTTTTCATTTCTCAACTTGAGGTACAGACAAATATTGTGAGAAGTATTGGCAAATTTGGACTAATGCTTCTGGTCAGTACCCAGAAGAAAACCTTGCCTCTCCCTCTGAATGGGGTGGCTAGACGCAGCAGCTGATGGCTAAGTAGAGGATTTAAACAATGGGGCTGAGGTAATGCTTCTTTCTGATAGAGGAATGAGAGATCGGGAGAAGGTGAAACTGGAAAAGGGAAGCCCTCTGACCATGAGGCTAAAAGCAAAGACATTCTGAGAACGCAGGCGCCATGACTCCAAAATTGGCTGTGACAGTGAAATGCCTTGCCTCATATGTCAGAGACCTCTCCTTAACACTGAATTCCTTGGCTTGCGACATGCAGAGAAAGCTTGATATAAAGCACTTTATAAACTGTACTGTTAGTGAACATCTTAAAACCACTGCAGTTTCACAATCACAACCCTCACAGGAGGTCAGGGGTCATCTGAAGTACAGTACTGTAAGGGTTGGATAAAATACAGAAACAACATGCAATCTCATAGGTGCCATCTTAGCCTATGATTCTTGTGCAACATAATGTGAACAAGTCTGCATGATAGCCTAGTACGGTTAAATAAATATCATATACTTTTGATTCAAATATAACAAAATTCAGACTCTAAGCGATTCCCTTCTGATTCTGTAGACTGGGACAGCCATTAGCACATCCTTTTGGTTGGGGCTGAACAATGTGAGATGCAGATGAGCTTTCCCATGTAACCCCTCTGAGAACCCCAGTCAAATTACTATCTCAGCCACTGACCTCCAGTCCAGAGCAGTAGTAGTGGCTGAAACCCTAGTCCTCCCATCCCACTGCACAAGGCCAGGCAGCTCAACATTTCATTTCCTTTGAACGGGGGCATGTTCAGCAATGAATTAGAACAGCTGCTAAACATATTTCCTGGACCACAGGCCCATCGGACCACAATGCATCTCTACTTGCAGGTCTGGCCACAAAGAAGTGGAGGGGGATTGAGTCAGTCAAAGGTCCTCTGAGGAGGATTTGGCATTGATCCCCAGTGGGCACATGGTGATGTACAGAGGACAAATACATAGATTAGGTTGCATCTGTGCCTTCTTCAAATAGATCAGTATTGGTCATTGTAATGAGAAAAACATGTGAGAGTTTTTCTTACTGCAAAGGGTAAGCTAAGCATAAAACAATAGAGATCCCAAGGGAAGAACGGCTCCGTTTTCTGCAATTGAGAAGCAAGCAATCCACTCAGGGGTTGAATTTTAGTAACTACACAGTAACTGTTTCCACAGGGGCATATCTGATTGTATCTCATATTTCTTATCCCTATAGATTAGGGATGCTGTTCACAGACAATTGATTGCATTTTGGTTTGCTTTCTGCAGCAATAAGGGAAAAACTAAGATAGAAAATATACCAACTAGGCTGAGCTGCCATCCTCTCCATGTAATCCTTGGCCAGGTCGAGGGCCCCGGCCCTGTGTGGGTAAAGCAGACAGAACATAGACAACACGCCCAGGTTGTTTCCATACACCTCATTCCAGCGGGCGCTGAACTCGGCCGGGCTCCAGGGGGGCAGGTACTCCTCAGGGTGCTCCAGCATGGCCTCCCCCGCCTCGCGGATCCTCGCAGCCATCTCCCGGTGAGTCCCAGCCGCTGCCGCCTGCAGCTCCTCCACCTCGCCCTGGCCGAAAAACAGCATGGGGTGTCCATCGTAGTTCCCTCCCATGAAGGGTATCCCTCCACTGGGGTCCGTCTCCTCCCCCACCCCCACCACCGGGGACACCAGGGGCCACAGTAGACTTATGAAGAACACTGTGGGGGCCCCTCGGGTGTAGGTCCTCATCCTCACATCAGAGAGGGCACCGTGGAAACGTCCAAATGGAGCTCAGCTGAGAAGGAAAGGAAGGGGAGAAGGAAAGACTTTGTGAAAGCTAGCCAGCATATTCTCTCTCTCCACTCCACATCTTTTTCATACAAAGGGTGCATTCCTTGAATAATTGGATACAGCTGTATTCCTGATCATTCTGGCTTTCCCCTACTGTTCTGAGAGGTTATAAAACGCTACAAAACCAGAGGACTTGGTGTAGACTGTCACAACTGAAAGGAAAGCTGAGCTCTATGTTGTAAAAATGCAACACATCTTTATGATTAATCATAACAGACCCCCTCCTCCTCCCCCATGTGTACCTTGAGAAGAGGTAGCGGAAATGTGTAAAGTGTGCTATCATACCTATTGGCGAGAGGTGTGTTCATCGCTATGAATCCTGAGGCCTAGTTCATTCTTGTATTGGCATTGTCTCAGGCGAGTCTAGCCATGTACACCCACATAGTCAGACACGTTGTCCTCAACACTCTAAAGGTCAAAAAGGCCCGTGCTGGTATTCTTATTCATCAGTTCTACTGGTTTGGCTTAACCGATGACTAAGATGACATGGGTACATTTGACACTATGGTAGTGTTAATCATCTCTTCTCAGGAACATGGACGTACATTCCAGGACCTTACTCTTGGCACTTGTCTAACAGAAAACCATTTGGTGGTGATTTGAAGGGTGTCTAGAGAGTCTAGACTCTGGTCAGTTCTATTAGTATGAGTTGTCTGTTTTGTATTATGTTACACTATTTAGTGTTGCCTAGCAGTGTCGTGTTCGAGACCACCTTAAGCGAGACCAATTCAAGACCAAGACCGGAGCGAATTGCATCCAAGTCAAGACCAAGACCGGAGGGGGGTCAAGACCGAGTCAAGACCGAGATCGGGAGGGGGATGAGAGGTTCGAGACTGAGTCAAGACCATGACTGTAATTTTGTCAAATCGTCACCATGATAAGAGTTCAAAATGTCCAGTATTTCTGTGTTCATATTTCAGAAGAACATATGGATTCTTTAGACAGAGAAAGGGTAAGGATTTATAAAATAATACAAATGATATTATATTATTATTTTCAATGATGTTCTGATTTAATCTCTTCAGTTTTTGTTAGAAATGAAAGGGTTTACACTGAAGAGAAAAAATATCCAATCAGGATTTTCCTTTGGTGGTGTCTGGGGAGATAAGTCAGCCATTGGCTAGGCCATCAAAAGCTCGATAGAAGGCATCTGTCATTCAACTGTATTAGGGCAACTTTTTGGAGTAACAGTGGAATCAACCAATCACATTGACTTGTAATGGGTGGGACCATTTTTACATAAACTTATTGAAACTTCTGCCTTCTCAAAGGCAACAGGTCACTGTGCAATAGGGAGCAGTAGTTTTCCCACGGTTTAGCTAGCTAGCTTTTGTTCTAGGCTAGTTTGCAGCGGCTGCAGCAGGTGTTATCGAAGAGGATGTTGTTGCTAATTTGTTAGCTTCTCCCTTTTCAAGAATAACTTTCAACAAGAAGTTTCAAATGATCATCATCAGGTGAGTGGAACTGTGTTTTTTATTGCAGCTCGCATGCTGTTGTTAGCCATCTCTATCAAAATAACTTAAACTACATGACCAGAAGTATGTGGACACCTGCTGGTTGAACATCTCATTCCAAAATCATGGGCATTAATATGGAGTTGGTCCCTCTTTTGCTGCTATAATAGCCTCCACTCTTCTGGGAAGGCTTTCCACTAGATGTTGGAACATTGCTGCGGGGACTTGCTTCCATTCAGCCACAAGAGCATTAGATACAGTAGGTTGGGTACTGATGTTGGGCGATTAGGCCTGGCTCGCAGTCGGCGTTCCAATTCATCCCAAAGGTGTTTGATGGGGTTGAGGTCAGGGCTCTGTGCAGGTCAGTCAAGTTCTTCCACACCAATCTCAACAATCCATTTCTGTATGGACCTCGGGGGCATTGTCATGAAATAAGAAAGGGCCTTCCCCAGACTGTTGACACAAAGTTGGAAGCACAGAATTGTCAAGAATGTTATTGTATGCTGTAGCGTTAAGATTTCCCTTCAAAGGAACTAAGGGGCCTAGCCCGAACCGTGAAAAACAGCCCCAGACCATTATTCCTCTTCAACCAAACAGGTAGCGTTCCATTTCATGAAGCTCCCGACAAACATTTATTTTTCTGACGTTGCTTCCAGAGGCAGTTTGGAACTCGGTAGTGAGTGTTGCAATCGAGGACAGACAATTTTTACGTTTGACGAACTGACTTGTTGGAAAGGTGGCATCCTATGACGGTGCCACGTTGAAAGTCACTGAGCTCTTCAGTAAGGCCATTCTACTGCCGATGTTTTTCAGCTGGTTTCGGGAACAAATTACGAGTCCTCACTGGCCGAGACCGAGTAAAAATGTATTAGACACCGACACAAGACTGAGACACTCTATTAGTGGTCTCGGGTACTACAACACTGTTACCTAGGCTACTACAAATGACACCAATGGGGGAAAGGAAGCAAAATTGTCATTATTCTGCAGATGTTGCTTCACTTGACCACTAGACATGACACCTGACCTCATAAACTGGCACATTCCAGTTTAAAGACACATAATCAGATAGTCTGCCATAACAGACATAAAGACCATAAACCCTGGATGGTGGAAGTGGAACCTATAGCCACATGTTAAGAGGACATGGAGATGGAGCACTGATTGGTTTAAGGGAATAAGGGAAACCAGATGAGAGGGCCCAGTTTTCCCTCTCCGGGGCTGGATTAGCATTAGTGGAGTTGCCAACAACCGGATGTTCCAGTTTTCAGGGATACAGATATTTTCAACCTAGCTTCCTTTTTCCGCTGAAATCCACTCAGTCGTTTCTCTTACGCCTGCTAAATTAGGTTAGGGCTGGATTAACCTTTAACTGCTTTGTTTTCTTTCAATCTACACAACAATGAGAAACCCATGGAACAAAATGGGGAATGAATTCTCAAATAGACCTTTAGCTTTAAAATAACTATGCCCTTAAAACTTTATGACTACTTCAAATGACCACATGTTGAAAAACTTTATCTTACACAAATAAAGTGTAATTACTGTAGAGTAATGTGCCAATAATGTATTATGGAAACTATTATATACTGCTCCATCACTAGAAAGTAATACAACAAACTTGATACTCATATTAAAAGACACCTTTGCCAAAGTGTCCCAGCTTTTTCCTATTAGTAGTTTTAATAGGACATATGATTATGATATATTTGAATACCTACAGTTGAAGTTGGAAGTTTACATACACTTAGGTTGGAGTCATTAAAACTCGTTTTTCAACCACTCCACACATTTCTTGTTAACAAACTATAGTTTTGGCAAGTCGGTTAGGAAATCTACTTTGTGCATGACACAAGTAATTTTTCCAACAATTGTTTACAGACAGATTATTTCACTTATAATTCACTGTATCACAATTCCAGTGGGTCAGAAGTTTACATACACTAAGTTGACTGTGCCTTTAAACAGCTTGGAAAATTCCAGAAAATTATGTCATGACTTTAGAAGCTTCTGATAGGCTAATTAACATCATTTGAGTCAATTGGAGGTGTACCTGTGGATGTATTTCAAGGCCTACCTTCAAACTCAGTGCCTCTTTGCTTGACATCATGGGAAAATCAAAAGAAATCAGCCAAGACCTCAGAAAAAACATTGTAGACCTCCACAAGTCTGGTTCATCCAAATGCCTGAAGGTACCACGTTCATCTGTACAAACAATAGTACACAAGTATAAACACCATGGGACCACGCAGCCGTCATACTGCTCAGGAAGGAGATGCGTTCTGTCTCCTAGAGATGAACGTACTTTGGTGCGAAAAGTGCAAATCAATCCAAGAACAACAGCAAAAGACCTTATGAAGATGCTGGAGGAAACAGGTACAAAAGTATCTACAGTGGGGAAAAAAAGTATTTAGTCAGCCACCAATTGTGCAAGTTCTCCCACTTAAAAAGATGAGAGATGCCTGTAATTTTCATCATAGGTACACGTCAACTATGACAGACAAATTGAGGGAAAAAAATCCAGAAAATCACATCGTAGGATTTTTAATGAATTTATTTGCAAATTATGGTGGAAAATAAGTTTTTGGTCACCTACAAACAAGCAAGATTTCTGGCTCTCACAGACCTGTAACTTCTTCTTTAAGAGGCTCCTCTGTCCTCCACTCGTTACCTGTATTAATGGCACCTGTTTGAACTTGTTATCAGTATAAAAGACACCTGTCCACAACCTCAAACAGTCACACTCCAAACTCCACTATGGCCAAGACCAAAGAGCTGTCAAAGGACACCAGAAACAAAATTGTAGACCTGCACCAGGCTGGGAAGACTGAATCTGCAATAGGTAAGCAGCTTGGTTTGAAGAAATCAACTGTGGGAGCAATTATTAGGAAATGGAAGACATACAAGACCACTGATAATCTCCCTCGATCTGGGGCTCCACGCAAGATCTCACCCCTTGGGGTCAAAATGATCACAAGAACGGTGAGCAAAAATCCCAGAACCACACAGGGGGGACCTAGTGAATGACCAGCAGAGAGCTGGGACCAAAGTAACAAAGCCTACCATCAGTAACACACTACGCCGCCAGGGACTCAAATCCTGCAGTGCAAGACGTGTCCCCCTGCTTAAGCCAGTACATGTCCAGGCCCGTCTGAAGTGCATTTGGATGATCCAGAAGAGGATTGGGAGAATGTCATATGGTCAGATGAAACCAAAATATAACTTTTTGGTAAAAACTCAACTTGTCATGTTTGGAGGACAAAGAATACTGAGTTGCATCCAAAGAACACCATACCTACTGTGAAGCATGGGGGTGGAAACATCATGCTTTGGGGCTGTTTTTCTGCAAAGGGACCAGGACGACTGATCCGTGTAAAGGAAAGAATGAATGGGGCCATGTATCGTGAGATTTTGAGTGAAAACCTCCTTCCATCAGCAAGGGCA